AGCTGCATGGATTTATCCTGGGGAGAACTAGCTATTTGTGGAAAATACTACACATTGTCAGTTTCTTCCGGATGCTTTGAATTTTCTTATAAATGACTAAGTGTAGCAAACTTCTGGCAAAAATGTGACCATTTTCTGTTAATATTGAGAGTGGTCCATGAACACTGCCCTCCCTTTTTTTTTTTTTTCCAGTGCTGGGGACTGAATCCAGGGCTTTTGCACTAAGCTACATCATCAACCTTTCTTCTCTCCTTCTCTCTCTCCTTCCCTCCCTCTCTCCCTCCCTGCCTCCCTGGCCACCACTCTCAGCTTATCTTCTTCCTTAGGACTTGAATCCTGAGCCTGGGAGTATGAGAAAGAGTATTCAGTAACATCCCCATGCCCAGCCAGACCACACTCAACCATCACTGAGAAATGCGTCCTTCTCAAGTGCCTCCTTGTGAGATAAGCACTCATATTTTATTTTCAGTTCATTCTGGGAAGATTTCCTGAGCCACATGTGTTAAAAAAACAAAACAGTAGAGTAGGAGAGCAGGATGTGGAACCATCACTAACTAATCCCATAGCCTCAGTGCTTACACTCAATATCCTTAATTTGCTCATCTGTAAAATAGGATGATAACATCTCTGCTTATTCTAGAGTAGTTGGAGGATTCACTGACAAATAAATGGGGAAACATTGTGCTGGGCTACTGCCAGGATAAATATTCAAGGTGGGTGGGTGGGAAACAGGTTCTGGGCTCATGCAGTCTTCTCCTGACCCACCTGAGTGACCCTGAGCAGCTCTGGAGCTTCTTGTGGTACAAATTTGAGGCTTTTTTGAGGCTCATACCAGTACCTTATTGCAGACTTGATGTGCAGATTAAGCAAGGCATCCATACTTTGAGTCATTATTTGGTTATCTTTTATTTGACCTTTAAGGTATATTTTTCAGATGTGGAAGTAGGTTGTACACCCAGTGATACTTCAGAGAAATGGACATGGGTACCTTGTCCCTGTGATAACTGTTCTCAGACTAGAGGCAGTGCTGCTGAGAAGAGTTCCAGAGAAGTTCAGAAACTCAACTGTGAGGCAAAAGCGTCCATTCGACTTTTGCTGGCATCTTCAAGGGCAGTTGTGGAGGGTGTCGCTGTAAGTCGGCCTGATCATTGCCCTCTGGATCTCATAAGGAAGTAGAGGAGGGCAGGGCGGTGGGGCAGAATGTGTTGGGAGTGCCCTGACCAAGCTGAGTGTCAGGTGAGTGTCTAGGTGGAGGTGAGAGTTGGGTGCCCCACAGGCCGGGAGGAAACTGAGTCTTACTGCTCAGCCAGGAATCAAGTGCTCCCTGCCCTTGTGTTGGACCTTGCAGAGTGAGCAGGAGTTTTCCAGGAGAGCTGTACAGAGGGGCATCCCACTCACCTACGTTTTTCCTGTGAGGCGGTCACTGACTCTTAAATTTCCAACTAGGGCCCTGGTAGAGTTCCTGAGTCATTTCACGTCTCTTAGAGTCTGTGATTGGACCTTGTGTGAAAAGTAGTTGTTTTGAGCTTGGCCTGGCTGGGCTAAACCTTTACTTTTAAGAAATCTAGAGGTACTCAGTCCAGAGCAGTAGCCAGATCACATGTGGACATCAACATTAGTGAAAACTAAGTAAAAGTAAAGTTGAGTCACTCAGTGAAGCCAGCTAGCTCCATTTAAGTGTCTTGAAGGTCACCTGTGGCTAGCGGATACCCCATGCCCAGCACAGGAGACATTTCCACCAGTACAGGAAGTTGTCATCACATAATGTTGCCCTGGTAGGAGCTCCTGCATTACACAGAGAGGGGCCTGAGTGGGGCATTTTTTTCTACTTGTCCTCAACTCCAGCTGTGTGAACCTACGTGCTGTGTGTGCAGGCTTCCCATGAGACCTTGAGCAGGGACATCTGCCATCATTCTGCTACTTGCTACCTAAATCCAGCTCTGTGATAGATCATTGATTGTCCTGGTGAAATTGTGCTTCATTAAACTGGTGAAATAAATCTCTCCTGTACCCCTTTTACTAGCACAGAAAGTCTCCTGTGATCTCAGGTCAGAGAGCTGGTTGGTGGACGGAAGTGTCAGGGCCCTGCTTCAGAATTCTCAGTAGGTGAGGGGAAGCCAGGGCTCATCAGCACTGGGGAGAGGTTGCCATGTCCACAGCCAACTGTACCTGGTACTGGAGTCTGCTTTACACTCTGGAACTCCCAGCCTGGGTAGATGCAGCACAGCTGGGGTATCCTGAGTGCATGCACTGCCTTGAAGACTTTATGACAAAATCATATGCATCAATCTGCACTTTTAGATGTCCTAACAGTGTGTGCCTAAGGACCAAAAACCCATCACAAAGCAAAGAGAACAGAGAAATGACTTCCTTGGATCACCCAAAGCCCAGGGCCCATGGCCCTTACCTTTGAATTTGTCTCCTGTCTGTGGTATACTCAGAGTTTCCATTACGACCTGGCATTTACAAGAACATTTTACTGTGTTCTGGTATCTCAGGAAATTAGATACTGCTGCGATAGTGCATAAGGGGTGATGATTACAGCGATCAAGAGGCTTGCAGGTGCTGTGATTTATGGTTACTATCTAAACTGATTGGAGGAGGACTTTCACCTTAGCCCAGGTTTGGCTGTAATTTTCCAGAATAGCTTTTACTGTAGAAATCTAAACACATCTGAATAACTTCAAGATTGTGTAAGTTATAACATCTGCTCCATCTGTTGAGGGAACTTGGAATTTCAGAATTAGCGTGTTGGTAAGGTTGTAGGGAGATAGAAATCTTTTCCAGAACACTGCTACTCTGCCAATCATAGTTTAGGGAGCCCTTCATTTGGAAAGGGGCTTTCTAGTGCAGATAAAGAATATGGGGTGTGATTAAAAAAAAAAAACAGTGAAAGCCAAATTGCCATTAATCTCCTTCAAAATTCTCCCCCTCACTCTAAATACACTTACTCCAACTTTCTTGCCACTTTCTGAAGCAGTTCTGGAAGTCCTCTTTTGTGAGTATCTTTAGTTGCCTGTTGCAGCTGCTGCAGTGTCCTGAGTTGATTCAGAATGTCTACCTTTCGTGGTCACTTTGACTTTGGGGAAGACCCAGTAGTTGGACAGTGCCAGGTCAGGTGAATAAAGTAGAGGACACACTGTAACGTTTGTACGAGTCTGCCTGTCCATTGGATGGTAGGTAGTCAGCAGTAGCATTCATCATGCTTTGATCACTCCTTGTATCCCTGGTCTCTCAGTCTAATAGCATGTCTTCAGACGTGCAGTTCCTGTGCAGGCTGGTTGCTTGTTGCCATGCTTCTAGTTCAGGTTGCCACGTGTAACTTACCAGGGGCACCACCTATGTTTGGGAAGGTGAAAAGACCAACACGAGCAGAAGCCTTTGTCTGCTGGACTCAGCCACCATTTCAACCCCTTAGAAAGCCAGAATCTGTATCAGGAGGCTTGCTTGGTGCCAGCCAGGTTTGTATGTCTCAGGAGGCCGGTCTCATCAGGGAAAGGCAGCTGGGTAGGATGTGTACTGTAGACACACTCCCGTGTCCTGCTCAAAGTCAGTGCAGTAGATAGGGACACGTGGAAAAGAGCACACAGATTTCCTTCTGTATCAGGGCCACATCCTCCCTGCACACAGAGTACGCTGCTGAGCCTTTTCCCAAATCTTTGTGCTTGACCTGAGCTCTCCCACTGGGCTCTGTGTGCAGGACCTGCACCCACATCCTCCTGAATGGTGCCTGGGAGAAAGGCAGGTAGGAGAGAGACTAGTGGCTTGATTTTGGCTGGGGGAGAACAGGCAATTTAACTCCCCCGCATTAAAAGTCTGTTTACAGAATAGAGAACAGAAATGGTTTTATTTTATGTTGTACTGTGGATGTACTATGGATGACTTAATTACTAAGAATCGGAAGGGCTGTGGTAACCCATTGCCTTTTGAGGTTTCTGCTTGCTTGCTTGCTTTCCTAGTACTGAGGTACTGAGCATCACCAGGGAGCTAACTGTGGAACAGGCAAAGTCAAGAGCTTCAGTTTACTGAAATGAAAAAGGACATGAAGGCAATGTGGCTCCTTCTTGCCAAATCAGAGCTCGCTGAATAATTCAGCAAGTTGTTACTTTGGTGCTCTTTCTGTATGTTTTACAACACTATCCATTCATCTGAAGAATTACAACAGGAATAGTAGGAACTTCGGAACATGAATCAAACCTCATGAGTTGGGGAGAAGCTAGTGGGATTTGTGAGGCATCAAACTATGACTCTATATAAAACTTCAATATGTATAAGACGATAGATAGATAGATAGATAGATAGATATTCCTGTAGCCTTTGGTGGTTATATGCACAGAGCAGCAATTGCAGTGGAAGGCACTCTAGATCAGAGTCCATTGTGATTGTGAACTTGTTGACCTTCCTAGACCCTTCCATCTCACCTTGAGCACTTTTGGGACTTCCATGCCGGCTGATTCGTGGTAGTATGAGGTTGTCCTGTGCATTGCAGGCTATTTAATGGCAGCCCTCACCTCTAGCCACTGGATGCAAGCTGCAGCTCCATCCATGACCACCAAAAATGTCTCTCAGACAGTGCTTGAAAACCATTGTTCTAGACCAAGTGACATCATTCTCTAAGCCATTGAGTCCTCATCAGTAGACTGCGTGGGGTTGCCCAGGGCATCTCACATCCCCCTCCGATCTGACACTCCCAGTGTGACATCAGGGCATCCCCATCCTGTCTCCTGAGCTGAATACCACCTTGTTGCGGTAAGAATACAAGTGGGAATGTGTTCTTCTTGAGTTAACATACCTCTCATTTACATTGTCCATTTGGCTGGAAAATCTGTCCTTGTCCAGTAACCAAGTGTACCTGAATATTATACTATATTCCTAAACCCCAAATACATTTACAGTGGCTCTGATTTTTTACTAAACCTTATCCATATAGTAAGACTTTTCAGGAGAAGATTGAGTATTTGGTTGAAATATCTGGGTTTTTTTTTCCCTCCTTCCCACAGGAATTCTTACACTAAAGAAAGCCAATGAGCTCCTAAGCACAGGCGTACCAGGCAGTTTTCTGATCCGAGTCAGTGAGAAGATCAAAGGCTATGCCCTATCCTACCTGTCAGAAGAGGGCTGTAAACACTTCCTCATAGATGCCTCTGCCGACTCCTACAGCTTCCTGGGTGTGGACCAGCTACAGCACGCCACCCTGGCAGACTTGGTGGAATATCACAAGGTAAAGTGATTCATAAACTCAGTTTGCTTTGTAAAGTATTATCCTATAGCAGCTCTAAACAAAGAACGGCAATTAAAAGAAAAATGACTGAGATCAATAATGGGAGGATTAACCTTTGATAATTTTTCCTAATAATCAGGATTCTCAATTGCATTTCTTTTATCACAGAATCTAGTTCTTCCTCAAATACTCAGGGAGACACAGTAACTTGAGAGATGCTAACAAAGTTGAGGACATACTCATTACATCTGGCAATGAATCTTAAGTTAGAATTCAAGCCCTAGAGAAAAAGAGTATGGGGATGAAAGCTTTGTATAACCAAGGACTGAGGAGCTGTATCCCCGAGGAGGTGGGAAGGGCACCTTCAGCACAACACATCCTGACTGTGTGCCTTCTGATTGACAGGAGGAACCCATAACCTCCGTGGGAAAGGAGCTCCTGCTCTACCCCTGTGGTCAGCAGGAGCAGCCTCCTGACTACCTGGAGCTCTTTGAGTGACAGTGTCCATCTGGGTCATCGTACAACTTCCGGCTTGGCTTTCCTCTTGACTTTTGTGTATGAAGCCAAAGTCACCCTGTAGTGGAGCCAATACAGGAAGTTTCCCAGAAGTCCTCATTGAAACCTCTCTTCTGCATAAACACAGGGGTTTAATATCAAGGGGAAATGACCTCTGCTTCATCCGCAATCCAAAAGTAAAGAGAGAAGAGTCCCAATTGCAGCAATGACCTAAGATGAAGGATGTGACCGTAATAATGGATATAAGATAAAGCAAACACAGAAGAAACTGCAGGAATTCAGATGTACTTCCAAAACCAGTAGCTTCTGTGAAGTTTTTTGTGACTTCTCCATTCCCTCTTTGTATCATCTCAGAAGATCTCAAGGTCCTGTTTTTATGAAGTTCCACCTTGGCTTGGGAATGTCGACAAAGAAGAACTTCCTGATGGCTGAGATGATCCTCAGAACATACCTCCCTTACTGCGTGCGTGGGAAGCAGAAAAGCACCTCATAAGTATAAATTGGATTGGACATATTAAAATGTAGAATGAAAGGCTTAACACATATAAAAGATACATATGGATTGTAGGAAAGTGAGCAAGTGTTTATGACTTTCTTTGCTCATTCTAAGGAATAGAGACAGTGCTTATTCACTCTTAGTGGTACATAAACAAAAGCACAGTAAGTCAGCTGTTTGGATACTACTTGTGCGTTGGATTGTGTTCCCCAAAAGATACCTTGAAGTCCTAACCCCTTTACATGGGTGTGACCTTGTTGGGACATAGGGTCTTTGCAGATGGAGATAAATCCAATGGCTAGCATCCTCACAAGGAGAGAGAGATTTAGAAACACAGCCCGACACAGGAGAAGATGCCAGGAGATAGGCAGAGACAGGAATGATGTTACTGCTGGGCAGGGAACACCCGGGTTTGGAGGAAACCCTCAGATGCCAGGAAATAGGTGTGAAACAGACTCCCTCCAGAGCTTCAGGAGGAGACATGGCCTTGTGGACACTTTGATTTCAGCCTTCTAGCTCCCAGAACTGCAAAAGAATAAATGTCTACTTTAAGTCACTGAGTTTATGGTCATTTTTGCAGCAGCCCCAGGAAACTAATGGAGTAGCTGATGTAATTATGGGTCTGCACATCTCATAGACCCAGTCATAGCTGCACAGTCCTAATGAACGGAAAATGGTTTCTACTGTTAGGCTTTTGTAAGAACCCATCTCTTAGCTTTTGTCTCTGCAGTGCAGCGGTCCCACATTATGTGGAGTCCTGTCTTCCGTTTCCATCTCTCCCCATTATTTTCTGTGTAATTTTAGGCAAGTCTCTTTATCTCTCTGAAATTGCTTTTGATTCTTCAAGAAGACATTTTTAACCGGGTGGTCCTTATTATTTTCATCCAGCTCTTCAATCCTAAATCGTATTACTCACTAGAATGAATGAAATTCCCAGTAGTCACAACAGTTATAGAGACACATAGGATTCCAGCATCACGTAAGTATAACTATATGATATGCTACTTTGCATGACTAGAAGATTTAGAAAGCAGGAAATGATCCAACTGAACTAACCTAATATGTGTTAGTTACTTTTCTCTCATTACTGAGACAAAATAGCCGACACCCAAAGATAAAAAGGAAAAAAATTTATTTAGCGTTGTAGAGGTTTCAGTCCATAAGCGTCTGGCTCCAAGGCAGAGTGGCACATGGCAGAGGAACAACAGTTTGTGGCAGTGGAAGACAGCAAAAGCAATAAGAGTAAAAAGGGAAGACAAACCTCTTTCTGTCCCTTATATTGTATCCATTCAACCAGGATTAGGGCAGTGCCAAGCCAGTCTATGGACTGATCCAGCAATCACCCGCCCTTAATCAGAGCACCCTTTTTTTTTTTTTTTTGGTCTTTTTGAGACAGGGTCTTGCTATACAGTTCAGGCTGGACTTGAGCTCACTTGGTAGTCCAGGCTAGTCTGTAACTCCCAACAATCCTTCTGCGTCAGCCTTCTGAGTGCTGGGATTACAGGCATGCGCCACCATGCCCAGCAATTTAAATTTAACTGGATGTCTTGTTTTTTGGTTTTTTTTGGGGGGGGAGTTGTCTTTTTTTTGCAGCCCAGGCTGGTCTCGAACTCGCAACAATCCTCCTGCCTCAGCCTCCTAAGTGCTGGGATTACAGGCATGCGCCACCACACACGACAATCACAGCACCCTTAATTCCAGCATTGCACACTCTGTATTCGGCCACCTCTGGAAAAGTCCTAAGACCACTCTGGCTTTGGGGGTTGGCATGTAGACACCAACCATTACACCTGCTATTACAAGGGAGAACATACTTGAGTCCTATACCATTTTCCTGTTGACTATTGACACTCAGAGGAGAAAGTATCTAGTGTCTGCTGATATGATGACCAGGAGTAATACTGGAAATTCCTTGGGAAAGAGAATGGTTTATGGAATTCAGAAACTGGTAAGTGCGGGGGGGTGGTGTTGAAATGTATTTCATGTCTTATTTTAGTGATGACCTAAGGTGACATCCAGACCTTGGCCCTGGTTCTCTCCTATCGCCTTATGAACCCAGCTTCCTGCCCCACCTGCCCCAAATCTCTCGGTCAGGGAAGTTGCCTTTGGTTACTGCCCAGGTTCTCTACTCCAGGCACTCTGACCTATAGATTTCAGAGACTTTGGGTCTGTTCCCAAATGTTACTCTGTGCCTGAGTTGATTCTTCTCTCCTTCAGTAAGATTCTGGAATCTCCCTTCTTCACACTTTCTGATCACTGCTTCTGTAACACTAGAACCTCCCTCCCAATCAGGTCATCCGTAAGACCCCTAGTTCTCATCTCCTGCCCTATCCTGCTGTACTAGGTTGCTCAGGAAAGTTAGCGTGTTCCTGCATGTTACCAGCAGTGCTAGACCTTGTCATGATGTGTGGGTTGGCTCCAGTGTCACCTCAGGAAGAAGAAAAGCAGAGATATAGTTGAGGAGATAAAGGATCAAGAGAAAGAAAATATGAAGATGAGGAATGGAGAGGGCACCAAAGTATCTCCAGGGCTTTTATGTAAAAGTTGCCTATCTGAGCTAATGCTTTGAATTAAACTACTCTTTTAGGATATAAGCATATACTAATAGGCATGAAATCTGCTTTTAGGTTAAAAAGAGAAAAACTTAGTGGCTTAAATTGTTGCAGTTGCCCCTTCTATAGAGGTAGCTTTCTCAGTGTACTAGAGTCCAAACATGTGGCACACATTCATGTCTTGGGACTCCTGCCAGTTGGTGCCCAGAGAAGACACAACGGTATTTATAGGATAGGATGGGTGCATATCTGTGGGCAACTCTTCACTTTCTTTTTTGTCAGTAACATAGTAAACACTTTTAGGTCAAAGTGCGCATCTTAGAACATAAGTTTTCTACAATGATATCTTTTATTTGTCTTTTTGAGACAGGGTTTCACTAGGCAGTTCAGGCTGGCCTTGAACTCACTTTGTAGCCCATGCCCGCCTGGAACACACTGCAATCCTCCTGTCTCAGCCTCCCGAGTGCTGAGATTACAGCCATGTGCTACCACACCTGGCCCTACAATTATGTCTTTAAGTAGTACTTCTACTTGAACTGTGCTTTTTCTCTTCTTCAGGCTAGCTGTAAATCTTAGCTTTCTCTTGGCTGTTTGTGTAATCTCTTCTTTATCATTTTTATTTACTCTTTCTGATGTACTTTAGGAGAGTTACTCATCTCCCATTTCTATACAAAAGTTTAAATCTTCTACAGTGTTAATTCTATGTAGATTTTAGTACTGCCATTACATTTCTTATTTAATTGCCATCCTTCCCTCTCTCCCTATGCAGGGTTCTTTAATACTTCTCACTGCTGCTTAAGACTGGAAACTATTAGGAAGCTTAACGAATCAAAGTAGTCTCATGTTAGTCCATGATAACAAGATTATCTGATAATGAAGTAACTGGATAGAAAGAACACCCAGCAAGTTTGGGTTTGGATACTATCTATATCAGTAATTATGTGGAATCTTGAAAGAAAAATTATTGGTAACTCTGTGTGAGACTGGAGCCAACCCACACATCTTGACAAGGTCCAGCACTGCTGGTAACATGCAGGGACTTGCTGACTTTCCTGAGTAACCTAGTACAGCAGGGTAGAGCAGGAGATGAGAACCAGGGGTCTTACGGATGACCTGATTGGGAGGGAGGTTACAAAAAATTATTAGTAACTCTGTGTTTCACTTTTTTCATCCCTAAAACCACAGTTACTAAAGTCACCCACCTCCTAAGGATTAGAAAAGAAATGTGTTAATTGCCTGCCATAGAGAAATATGTCCGTGACCAGTAATCATTCCCAGGGAGCTGTGGGACCAGCAATGCTAACATCTGTGCAGGCCAGGCCCTCTTTATTGACAGTTCATATATCCAATGGGATGTGTACCCTAGTGGCCCATTTCCGGGAATTCTGGGATGATTTGTAAGGTGGAAATGGCTGACAATTCCCAGATTACTGGTACCCCAAAACTGGCCATTTACAAACTAATGCAGTTGCCCATGGATTACTGGTTAGAAATCCCCGAGTGTCTGACTCCCTTTTAGAGCAGAAGACTTATTACTTTGGGACTTACTCTGCCTGTCTCCCTAACAGGTTAGGTGGGGCCAAGGCAAAGCCTGGGAGCTAGTGGGGTGAGGCCCTACTGCCTTTGCCCATCTTCGGATTTTCTTCAGCTAACAGGATGCCTTTTATGAAGTCTTCTCATCAACTGAGTCAAGATCCTATAACTCTCCTTAGCACTGTGCCCAGGAACCAAACACGATAGCGAGCACCCTCTCCTTTGAGGGCAGGGAGACTGTCTTACCGGAGGCAGAGCCCTAGCAAACGCTTCCCAGCCTGGCCACTCCTAGCTTGGACAGCTCACATACCACTGATCTGATCTTTACATGGTTCCGTTTTAGGCTAGCAACTGGAAGAAAGAAAAGGTTGTTAAATAAAAATTTCCCTCCGCCTTTGCTTGATACTGAGGGTTTTCTACTCTTCTGAGTTTTAAAATTCTTTTCAAATGGGCTTCGAAGCCATACCATTCCAGGGGATGTCACTTACTGCTCTGAAACCCCAGCTGGACAGTGGGGTTTGATGTGACAGGGTCAGGGTGGAGGGCAAAAGAGCTCCCTGTGTTCCACTTACTGCGGTCCAGGCTGGCGTCTGACCCTACAGCTGCTGAGGAGCAGCAGTGAATCTACTGCACCAAACGACCCACACCAGATTAAGGAACATTTGGTGAGTGCCGGGCAGAGGCTGCAGTAGGTGGCCTGGCCATCCCTGAATCTTAGGTGACTATGGAGAAAGGAGCATAGCCCTTTTCCCCCCAGAGTGACACCTGCCCTCCCAAGCTGTGACCTTCCCCATGACTGCCCTCCCTTTTACCCCATGGCCCGTCCCTGAGTTCACACTCTTACTAGGGTTGCCAAAAAGCCGGATGCAGCCCCGGGGGACCTGGGGCTGCCTACTCCGGAGAGCAGGTTCAGAGGCTCAGCAGCGCAGAGGCCGTTTGAAAGGCACCTCTGCTGGCAGGAAAGAACATATTCTCTGTGTTGGAAAAAACCACCCTCCAAACCCCCCAACCAACTGGCGCGGTCCCCAGTTTTTGGCAGCAACAACAAAGCCCTAAGCCCTGCCAGGAGAAATAGCTTTGAATTAAAATATAAAGCTAATCAGAATATGGATCACACAAAGCTGCCAGGTATTTGATGTGTGTTGAGAGGAAAACACACCCGTCCCACTAAGAAGCTGCCGAAGGTCATTATCTATCGTTAGTAGCTCTCAGAAACACTATCGAGTCCTCTGTGGGTTTTTTTTTCAAACACAAGTTTTCTCACCTGCTCTCCCCTCCTACTCAAGATGGTTTTAAATTTCACATCTTGGAATTCTGTACGAGAGCTGTTCGGATCACAGTGTGAATGAGTTTTCCTTCCTTTGGATTTCTCAGGCGGGGCTGGAGGTATGGGAGCAGGGACATGGTGGGAAACCAAGGCACAAAGAGGACAGGCTCTGGACTTGCTCCAAGGCCAAAGTTCTGTTCTAGACCTTCAAGCCCATCCGGAATTGGCCAAGAGATAAGATGATCACACAAGGCTCGCCTGATTCCTGCAGAGCCTCTGGGCAAATCTTTTAACATTTCCGAGCTTCAATTTTCTGCACCTGGCAAATGGAAGTAATGATATTACTTACCTTCTAAGGTGGGCGTTATGAACATAAGGTTCTTGGCTATATTCCTTACTTCAAAAACATCTAATGCCTCCCAACTGCCTACGGGAACCATCAACTCCAAATTACCGAGCACAGAATTTAAGGTAGAAATTATCCACTGCATTTTATATTCCTAGTCCTCTTCTCTTCTCTGTGGTGTAGATGGAGTTTTCAGAATGACAAAAGCCATCTCTAATTCATGGTCCTTAGTGGTGCTCTGATATCATCCAGGAAGTGCTGGTCATACTGAGCTCAAAATTTCCCAGATACCGTCATAAATGAGGAGTTGTGGGCTGAATACTAACTAGACATAAATAACTGTCATGTGCGTGCTGTGTGTGACATGTCCTAAATACGTCATCCATACTGACTCATTTAATATTCACAACAATCCTATGATATAGATGTGATTGCATTCATCATTCATTACCCTGAATGAGAAACCTAAGAAACAGAGACATTAAGTGACTCATTTAAGTTCATGTAAGTTTCAGATGAAAGAGCTAGAATTTGAAGAGTGTCATGGTGGCACAATGCCTGTGAATCCTAGCACTCTGGAGGCTAAAGAAAGAAGATCCTAAGTTCGAATTCAGCCTCGGCTACATAGCAAGATGCTGCATTAAAAAAAAAAAAATTGAAGCTGGGGATGTAGCTCATTAGTAGAGTGTTTGCATGAGTTTCAGTTCAGTTTCCAGTGCCACAAAAGAAATGAAATAAAATAAAAAATGAAGACATAAAATAAGAAATGAAGAAATAAGAATGTACAGCTGGGCATGGTGACACATGCGGCTGTAATCCCAGCACCTAGATAGGAGGATCACAAGTTGGAACCTAGCCCAGGCAGCTTAGTCATTTAGGGAGACCCTGTACAAAGGTTTAATGTCCAAGACACACACACACACACACACACACACACACACACACAGAGAGAGAGAAGGACAAAAAAAACAAATATTAGAACTTGAATCCTGGTTGTCTAGCTGGAAGAGCCCTATTAGCCACCCACTGTACTGAATCCTGGTAAGATTAGATAAAATGAGCTATCAGATGACTTTACAAATTAGTAAAGTAGGTTCTCTGTAGTTACTTTCATAGGTTAGATTCTCTTATTATGGAGGTGTGGAAAGAAAGGCAAGCTGACTGCCTTTATGACTTAGCAAGAGGGGCCTGAAAGTAGAAAACTGGTGGCAAAATAGCACAAGGAGTTCAGCTTCCTCCCTTGGAGGCAGTGGTGTTGGTAAATAATTAACAATAGGTGGGGGGGCGTGGGTAATGGGGTGGAGGGTAGTAAGGCTTGACTGGTAACATTTGCCAGTTGCTGGTATGCAGGAGGTAAATAATACTGTGGCTTATTTCAAGATGCCAACCTGTCTTTGAGGGAGAAGCTGGGAAAAGGTGTTAATTGGCCCTGATGTAGCTGCATCAGTGCCAATGGGGGCATCTCCAAGTGTATTCTAGACCCCAGCTCAGTCAGGAAGTTGGTTAACAGGCAACTGAAAGGGGGTAGATAGTGTGAGCGTGAGGGTTGGAAAGGGTCTCCAACCAGCCCAAGTCTCAGTGCTTCCTGGCAGCATCCTTCCTTTGCAAGATACAATATGCTGGGTCCTTCAAGCCAGTTTCATTACTGCTTTCCTTTGCTGTATGAGTTTAAATTCCAGCGGCCTATTATGCATTAATGGGGCTTTTTCTTTCACTTATGCCTCAGGCAAGCCATGGAAAGTGATGGCTTGCCTGTACTTTCCAAGAGCCTTTGTCCTTCGACAAAGCTGCTTTACCTGGCTGAGCTTTAAAAAGAAATACAGAATTGAGTCGGTTGTTTCTTTACCTCTTCAGCTGCTCTCAGTAACTTTTAAAGTTCAATTCTTATCCACTGTCTTGGGCATCTGTACCATGCAATGTAAACAAGCACAATGGGCTGATTACCCTTTGTAGTGCAGCCCAGTACTGTAGCACAGACAGACTCTTAGACCTGCCCAATTTCATGGCTTAAATATTTTATCTCTACCACCACCCTTGTGGAAAATGCATCCTCTTGACCCTGGTCAGTCACAAAACCATCAGCACCACTGTTGGGACAGGCCAGACAGTGCCCTGAAGTCTCCAGTATCACCACAGTATATGACAATATTAAGTACAGAGTGGAAAAGGACCTTGAAAAGCATTTCTCAATTTTCTATAATTCAGAAGGTCAAGTACAACGTATCATTAGTTCAGATTTTTCATTATGTTTCTCTTCTTCCTCTTGCCTGGTACTGATTCCCAGGGCACTTCTACAGTGACCAGAGGCTATTCCCCTTCTAGGTATCCTCCCCAAAGAGTTAAAGCATCATATTAGAGTGACCCATGCATACCTACATTTATGGCACCACAATTCATTATAGCTAAATCTTGCAAGCAGCCTCTGTGTCCATCAGCAGATGAACGGATAAAGAAAAGGTGGTATTTACACACAGTGGAGTGCCACTCTCCATAAAGAAAGCCAAACTTGAGTCACTTGTAGGATAACGGATGCACTTTGAGACCCAAGTGCTAAGTGAAGTAAATCAGAAACACAAGTTTAAATACTGCATGATTTCTCATATATGGGAAACCCCAAATATAAAAACAGAGCAAAATACAAAATAGACAATATATTTTCCTAATAGAAATGGGATCGAGAGATGGAGGGAGATGGGGAGGGAAGAAGGGGGAAAGGAATGAAGATGCATTTTGTATGTGTATCAACTCCACACAAGGAATGCAAACATTGCGTAGTGCAAACATGGGGGGAGGGAAGAGGGGGAGAGGAAGGGGGAGGGGGGAGAGAGAAAAGAAAACAAGGAAGAAAGAGAAAAAAATTGTGCAGGAGACAGTCATGGCATTTATTGGCTAGAGGCCAGGTAGAAATGCTCTTAAATGTCTAGGACAACCCCAGCAGTCACACCCAGCAAAAAATTATCTTGAGAAGTTCTGATTTGTACATACAATAACGTTCTTAAAAAATTAAAGACATTGTTATTGTTATTCCAAGAAGAAATCAAATCCACAAATCATATTTTTATTAGCTGTGCAATGCCACCTTCCATTCATGTCTTGTGTTTTAATTAAATTTTATGAACTACCAGTACAAATCAATACAGTTCTTTTTCTTATACCAACAGCTTGAATGCTCTTGAAGCTTTTAAACAATGAGTTTACTGTAGGCAAACAGAAGGAAAGGAATCAGAGAGATAATTAGCTCGTGCATCTGGTGCTGGCTAATAAATAAATTATCCTCACATGGATGTAGAAACCACTCAATGTTAACTGTACTTATTTTTTAAGAAACACTTTGAAACTGTAATAAAATGCAATTTGCAGAAGCATCTTGATGATTGAGTAGAACTGCTTAATTTTAAAAATAATTAAATTACTTCCACCTCGCCTGGGGTGAGTGAACATGTAGTAAAAACTTCCATCTCGGAGGACTCTGGCAGATAGATTGAGTTGTTTTTTTTTTTTTTTCTCCTGCTTTTCTTCTTATGGAAGCCAGAAGCCAGGAAGAGCACCCTGCTTTGAAAAGAGATTGTTTGGTTCATAACTTTGGTTTATTTAAACAGGTAAGAAAGTGACTTTTAAATCTATCAAGATATCATCAGTCAGAATGCATTCCTTTCCGGTTAAGGAGAAGGTGTCTTTTCTTTTCCTCCAGTGTTCAGTTGCTCCTCCTCCTGCTCACTCTTCAGATAAAGCATCTACACACCTCTTCCTCAGTGGCCCCAGCCAGGCCTCCCTGTGTCTCAAGGGCTGGACCTTCAGTGCTGGACAATATCCACATTTGGCAAGTCCTCAGATGCGGTATTAATCCAATGTTCTGAACTGAAAGTTCTCACAATGCATCTAAAAATATCTTCTTAAAAAAAACCATAAACATATATATGCTAACTTGTGCTCTCTTAGTAAGGCTTGCAAATTGGTAATTAAATACGCAGAATATAACTCACAAAAAGCAAAGAGAAAGTGCATTTTTAAATAAACAAATGGAGAGGGTTAAAAAGATGACCAAAAGAGAAACAGATCATTTTTGGTTAATCTTGGGGGAAAATGACACAGTATTTATGGTTCCTGGTCCATCCAGTCCACCTGATTTTGCCTACTACCTTCATGAGGCTCATGATAGTGGATCTACACACTTGACTCGGTTTCCTCTGCTGCCTTCAGAGACTTTAATATTTCTACAACTAGCGCCCCACTGACGGAATCATTCATACGTGGAAAAATGTGTTTGCCTTTCATTCTAATGGACTTTTTACAAAACTAGTCTTAATTCATGAATATCCCAATGAGCATAGAAAACAACAGATCTCGTTTCGTTGTAAACACAATCAAAACCTCCACACCATCAGGCTTATCATCTCCTAATCAGTCTGCCTTTGTCAGACTCTTCTCGGGTGCATCTGGGCGATGTTTGCAGGCGCAGTGGAGATTTTAATTCCTCTTGCATAATACCAAATAGAGAGAAATTGAAGGCTCTCTCCTCTCATCTTTTACTAATCAGTCAGATTCTTTTTTCGCCCTCTGTGGCAGTCTTTTCCTTGTTGCAGCCATTAGTTTGGTAATTGCAAAAGGAAGAAAAAATTGTCTCTCAAAATTCACCCCCTAGAAGTTCATGTTTTTTTGCTGCTTGTCTTCTGTTTCTGTTTGCGCAAGTGAGCTTCTATCTCGTGCCGGAAGACCAGCATCCCCAGCTGCCCGTGGGATGCCTCGTTCATGGCCTTGGACTGCATGCACATTTTGTATTGCTCAGGGGTCAGCTCATCCACACAGCGCTTCTCATGCCAGAGGTGGAAGAGTCCCCGGACGGGTGTCCTCACCACTATGAGGTTGCTATGGAGATACTTGCGATACAGGTGCACGTCCTCTCCGCCCCAGCCTTTGATATCCAAATCAAACCCACCTGTTGGGAGAGAACGCAGCATTTAACATGACCGTATGGGTATATCCTGATCTACCCTGGCTTCCCTGAGCTATACAGCACAGAACTTTCCATGAAGAGGCATTTAGGGGAGGTACAATGTGCTCTACTGTTCCTCTAACTTACCAGATGGGCCAACCAGGTCAAGAGACCCTGGGAATCCCCAAAAGAAATGACTTTCCCACAGGCAGCACAGATTTCTGGAGACAACAAGACCTTGTACACAATTCGAAGCATTTGCTTGCTTGAAGGAGCCACTGGCAATAATAGATGGCCTGACCTGGAGCTAAGAGCTTTAGCAGTAAGTACCCCTCCTTTCGTACTTGAAAACTCCCAGTGCAAATTCTTGGGTTTCTGTCTGGACAGGGCTTCCTCCTGCCACACAGGGGCTCCCAGGGTATAGGAACAAAAGGGGATTCCAGAATGGAAAAATCATGCCCGAAAAAGAACTCTCCTTTTCACAGATTACAACAGCCCCGAGAAGTTGCAAGATGGTGAAGAGAGTCATTTTAAAGGGACTGGTCTCAGAGTTGGTTCTGATGTTTCAAGCAAAGAAACTGGATATCATGAATCCTTTTGCAAAGTGTCATAGTCCGCTAAGGTCTCACCTTTGTAAACTGAGACATCCTCCTGTGACCTAAAGCCTACCAGGTCCCATGTAGAACCAAAGAACCACTGGCCTTTTTGTCATTATTCCTTTCTCTCCTAGGAGATTTATCCAACTCTCGCTAGAAACAGCAAAGTGATGCTCAACATCTTCCCTCAGTTGTTCTCTGGTGGCTCCTTCACTCCTTGAACACCCCCAGCCACACCGCTCTGCTCAAGGAAGGCTATGGCCGGAACCGGAAATGGGGGCTCAGGTACCAGAAACCACAACCAACCAATCAACCGCTGGCTAGGTTTATGAGGGACTTGGCCTCTCTCAGTTAGGGGGCAGGCAAAGAAAACAGACTAATTATGAGTCATGGGGCCAGAATTTGTCTTGGTTCTTTTGGAAGCTGCCACTTATCCTCTTTTTAGTTTTTTTAATCCCTAAGTAAAATAACTATCCTAACTGAATAAGGAAGTAATGTAAGGACCATTGCTTGGATAATTGTAGGTGATTTATTGCCATTACTGTTATCATTATAACTTACTAAACACCAGGTGCATAAGCAGGGCGCTTGCAAAGAAGTACAAGATTGGAAAGAATGGGTCTACCAGGGTACAAAGCTCTGAGGGCTTCCTCCAGAGGAAGGCGCCCTTCCCAGCCTGCTGTGACCCCCTTTTTAGAGCAAAGTGACATTCTTCTTTAGGAGAATCCAATATGATGAACATATCAGAATGAACCCAGCTCTGATAAGCACATGCGTCCTCACAGAACGCTTTCTTTACAAAGAGCAAAGAAACAGTTTCTTGAATGGAAATCTTCGGATAATGTTTCAAACTATCATTTTGAGGAGTCTGACTGGACAAAGTAATTTAGGAATATATCTCATAGAGGCATCAAGGAACACCTGCGGTCAGTTGTTGGGTGTCTTAGAGCAGCCACCACTGAGGGACCAGCACCCTTGTGGTCTGGTACCTCTTACAGGACTTAATCTAAACTCCCTAGTAGCTGATATTACAGACACAGTATATACCACAATTCCCCCTCCCCTCCCCTCCCCTTCCCTTCTTATCCCTTCTCTTCCTTTCTTCTTCCATTTCTCCTCCCTCCTCTCCCTCCTCACTCTCTCCCATAGCCTCACCCCTGTTAGGCAAGGGCTTTGCTGAGCCACACCCCCAGCCTTTGTTTGTAACCTGTAGTCAATGTCATTACTGAACAAAACAATCCTGAGGCTGCTCCTACTCCAATTTTAAAAGAAGAAGTTTAGGAACTTCTTGGCCTTGGGCCTGAGGGGCATGCCAGGAGAGCGAGAGAGAGCATGATGGCATTTCTGGAGGGCTTGGGGAGGGGACACTCCCTTGCCTCGTGAAGAGGGCCTGCCTGGCCACTCAGAGCCCAGGTTGACATTCCGGGCTAGTTACTTTTCACGCTAGTGCTGTGGAATCCCATTCTATTCTCTTCAGAGCTATGCATAAACATTGCTAAGGGGAGGTAGTGAGGTATCTCCAGGGCGGACCTCTGTCCTCATCCTATGTAGTCCTCTATCTCTAAGAGCCCTGGTCTGTTTAGCTGAAACCTGCTTTTCTGCTCTGTGCTCTGGAAACCCGTGTGTGTGTGTGTGTGTGTGTGTGTGTGTGTGGGTGTGTGGGTGTGTGTGTGTGACTGTATGCAAAATGCATGTATTCTGACAGCAACTGCACACTCAGGCTGGACTTGGTGACATCTAGAACTTTTGCCATGTGCCAAGAGACTCAGGAGGTCTGCACAGGAGGCCTCCCGTCCAGGACCCACGCTGGAGTAGGAGGTGCCCAAGAACTGGCCTCCACGCTGCATGTGTATAGCAGAGTGATACCTGGAATGAGTGGTGGAGATTACAGGGACCAAAGTACTGCAGAATCCCAAAGCCCCTCTTTCTAGCCTGCATCAGTGACACAAGGCACACATTTTTAAGTAAATGGCAGCATTTTGGCCATCAATTCGTAGGAAACCTGGGGGATGATTCCCTCAAGGGCTATGTACGGAGTGGCCTCCAGGTGGCAGTAGAGATACAGCTGTGTCTCACCTATGTTGATGAAGTCTGAGCGATACTGACATGTCATCCCAAATCCAAAGTCTCTCCAAAATCCAGTTTCCTTCTTTATGACCTGCAAAGAAAGCACGGTCAGACTGGGTGCATAAAAGAGTATTCACCAAGTCAGATGAACAGCATTGCGTATGGAGCGCGGCCCGGTCCTGATCAACAGCCACAAGCCTGTGTGGGAGACATGCATCGGAGTCCCCACAGACAGGAATACAGGAACCTCACCAGCCGCCAAACAGGGCCCAGTGAGTTTTGGTTTTGGCACTTCTGGCTGGAATGTTTCTAGGGTGTAGGCATGAAAACACACACTCTCTCTGTCTCTTTCTCTGTCTCTCTTTCTTTCTCTCTCTCTCACTCAAAAACAAACCAGGAGGGCAAGTTGTTGAGCAGTGCCACGGAAAAGCCACCTACGTGTCTGGCGCCATACCAATGCCAACCAGAGGTCTAGGCCCAGGCCCCTCACACAGACCCCCGGCAGGGAGCCAGCAAAGGGCTCAGGAAGCTGAGAAAAAACGATAGAAAGCAGCTTGAATTCAGCTGCCCTGGCACAGCCCACACACAGGACTCCCTCGGGGAATAAAATGAAATCCCCAGAGACTCCGCAGTCTCTTCCCCTTCTCCGACGCTGCTCCCTCTTCTCCGTGGAGGAAGAGCGTGCTGAGGGGCCAGGTTCTGAAGAAGGATTGCCCATTCATCCTCACACTATTTTAGAACCCAGCTGCTCCGGAAACCTCACATAGAAGTGCCAGCCTGCAGGGCGGCCGAGAGGCCATCAGAGCAGTGAGTGTCTATTAACGGGGTGCGGGAGCAAGGCCTGGCTCTGTGCAATCTCTTACTTTGCAAGTAAATTGCCAATAGATTTTGCTGAGGCAGCAAAATGTCGTGAAAATTTTATATATTGTTTTGGCAGAGCTGATTCTGGGAACGGTTCTGAGATCGTGATAGTTATTTTTGTGATTTGTTCTTGTAGTCTGTGTAGGTGCTTAGAGGAAAAGAAGTTCCCTTTCCTGGAGGCGAGCAGGGGAGGACAGCAGCGGTGCCCCATTCTGGACATCTGGCTCTGCCGGCCACCAAGCCAACCTGAAACAGCATGTGAAGGGAGAGGGAGGAGTAGCAGAGTCTCATCCCAACCTGACCACCGGCTGGCTTTTCTGCCTCAGGCAGGTCCCAACATGTCTTCAAGCCTTGGCTTTCTTTATTGTAAGATGAAGGGGTTGAGCAAATCACCCTAAGGATGGTTCTGCCTTTAACATCCAAGCATCATATCACGGTTACTCCATCTTGTGGAAGCTTTGACATGGAATAAATTATTTTCAATGAATAGCTTGCAGAAGGGTTGGGGAATCTCAAAAGTTATTTCACTCTAGAACCTATCCAACCACCTTGTTTTCACTGAGAGCTACAGGTAAACGTTAACCTGCATCTCGACCACCTAAGGAAAACCTGGGCCAGTGAGGTCTGTGGGCAAAATGTGCCCACAGTCATATCCTCCAAAACCACTTCAGACAAATGGCTTTCGTACAACACCTCCCACATGACAAGAACATTTCATTAGTATCAGCTGGAAGACTCTGCAAGGCAAGAAAGTCTGGAGAAATATACAGTGGGTCACTTTTTGAAAATGGATTTTGTTCCATCTCTGTTGTCCCAGGTACACAATTTCTGTTGCGGCTAAAAGCTTAGTATTCCAGTACTGGCCAGGATGCAGACAAGTCCTCTAAGCTTTGGATAAAAAGGGAGCTGGAAAGAAGTCTGATATTCAGACTTCAGCTCTTTGGCTGAGTAATACATGGAGTTTAAAAGAGAAAGCCCTACATAGGCAAGGCAACTGGCCAGGCTTTGTAAAGAAGAGTAAGAGCGCTCCCAAGACTCTGGACTGAGGCTATGGAAGCCTGACGAGGTCGAACAAGCTGAAGGATGACCCTCACCTTAGGACAATGTGACAGTGACAAACTGATTTATGACTGGGGAGTGAACTATAGAAGCAGGTATTAGAATTGGTTTTAAAGTTGGCAAGCTGCAAAAAGCCACTACGTGAAGGGCTCATTGACATACAGCCCTCGGTGGAAACCGATTTGATTGTGCCCACAGCATATAATTTCAGGGCAAGATGGAGTTCACTTATTAGAGATTCCACCACCACCGCTGGCCATGCCACTAACTGGAATGGTGCCCTCAGTGAGCAGACTAGTGGAGTGGGCAGTGTGAAGCTCTCATCCAACACTGTCATGTTCCCATGGAAAACCCTGCAGTGGTTTTCAGGTGAAAGGAGAATAAAATCCTCTGTCCTTCCTCAACTTGGCCCTGCCTGCCTCACCCCATTTCCCTCCTCTTATTCTCCCTGTTATACACAGCCCATTTCCCACCCTGTGTCCAATCTCCCTTGGGTCATAGGCATCCATGGCAGGACTCCTGCAGTTCCCCACTTGGTCACCCTTCCTCTGCTGCTCAGAGTAGTCATCCTGACCCCTCTGAACAGTGTCAGTGCACCTGCCCGCCACATGTCCCTCTCTCCCTATCAGCCTGGCCTGTCTTCTCTAAAATGCTCATGATATTGCTGATGCATGTGTTTCTCTGTTTGTGGGTGGTCTTCAGCTACCACCATGAGTGAATGTAAAAGTTAGTCTTGGTCTCATTGGCTGCTGTATCTCCAGCCTTGGAACACTGTCCAGCACACAGTCAACAATCCATAGACACTTCCTCCCTGAACAAAGGGAGACCAGTGCTGGGCACAAGTGGTTCCCACTCAGAGAAACAGACTCACTGCAAGCCGGAGACACTGTCAGCAAGCAGTTCAGCAAAGGATAGGAAGTCCAGTGGTACCAACTCTCAGAACTGTGTAGCTCTAAACCAATAGACAAAACTGTTTTCACTTTCCTGGGGCCCAAGGTAAAGGGCTCCTTAGGAACTTTGCCTTGGGCATAAGAGGCACCACTACTGTACACAAGCATCAAAATATATTGACCAATGGTGTCTACAATGCAGGAGGAAAAATTCCTAAAAGAAAAATAGAAGGTTCAACTTGAAAAACATCTCTTCCTGTCCTGAATTCCACTGTCTTCAATTGCTATTATTATTAGTAGTAGTATTTTGCAGTACTAGGGATGAACCCAGGGTTACGCTAACCTTGAGCTTCATCCACCCTCAGCCCCTTTTTAAAATTTTTTATTTTGAGACAAGATCTCCTAAGTTCCCCAGGCTGGTCTCACTCTTCCTGCCTCAGCCACCTGAGTAGCTGGGATTATGAGTATGCGCCACTGTGCCTGGCATGCCATCCCATCTTTACAATGTGTTCCAAAGGCCCCGTTCTCTCAGCACACCTTCCCTCCCCACCTCAGAGCATGCAGGGCCTGAATACTCCACAAAAGGACAGTCACCAGGTCAGCTCTCCCACAAGAAGTTTGCAGAGCCACAGCTCTGTGAGTGATCCACGTGACAGGGTTGATTATTTTCTATTAGAACCAAAACACAAAGCACAAATCAGCCTCTCTCTCCAGAGCTGTGGAAGGCGGCCACCCCACAGCTGCACAGGGAGCTGGGAGGCAGGCAGCGCCGGGCTGCCTTACTGGGGCCAACTTGGAAAACTACCCACAAAGCAGGCTGAACCCTGAAATAAAATAAATAACAAACACTCCAGTAGAGTATCTCTTTTAAACCAGGCTTTCCCAAGCTCCAGGGATGGTCTGGCCTGCCTTGCATTCACCAGCGTTGCCTGTGAGCTGGTTTGGGTATGGATGGGCATGAGATCTATGCAGTCACACAGGGCCCCACGATTGGAAGACCTTACCCTTGCTGTTGCTGTCTGAAAATTCTTTAATACTTTTGGAACTAGGGTTTGCATTTTCCTTTTGCTCTGGGATATGTGACTTATGCAGCAGGTCCTTCCCCAGGGAACTATGAGCTATGAGGACTGCTGGGCTTGGATTGGGGACTGCACTGTACATTGTTCATTAGCCTGAGGGCTCTGTGATCATGATGCACAGGGGCCCAGGAGGCTGCATGTCCTTTCCTTGTGGCCTCCTGTATAGAGGCAGAGAGACTTGCCCACATTCACTGATCCTGTTGCAGGTGAGTCCAGAACAATCCTAAGACTGCTGTGGCAGTCTCAGCTCCATTTCTTGAGAATTAAGTACTTTGGCACCACAGCTTTCAAAGAATTCATTTAAGGATGGACTCAAATGCCTCCTCCTTCCAGGTCTGTACTAAATCACATTTTCTTGCAAGTCTTTTATTATTACCTACATAAAAATGATTTTCTTTATTTTTTGGTATCAGGACATGAATTCAAGGCCTCACAGAGCTACACCCTCAGCTCTCTTTTTTATTTTGAGACAGGGTCTCACAAAGTTGCTAAGTTTCAAGGCTGCTCTGAAACTTACAACCTCCCTCCCTTGGCCTCTCCGAGTACTGGGATTATGATCCTACAGGCACCATCACACCCAGCTATGACTGTGTCTTCTAGGGGCACCAGGCTGGACGGGGTGCTCTCATTTCCAGCACCTTGACTCTGCCTTGTTAGAAGCACTCTGAAGGCAAAGGAAGTGTCTCCTTGTCCCTCAGCACCTTCAGTCCAGGCTCAGCTCCAAGATGTGGCACTGGACTTTCCACCTCGGCCACTCAGCAGCTGTGGGAGTCTGAACAGTGACTGAAGCTCTCTGAGCCTCAAATTCCTCATGGATGAACTGAAAACAAGGATGCCTTACACGCTATGGGAAAATGTGGGGACAGAGTGAGCTTATGAAATGGCAAGTATTACTATTATTTTTGTTACTTAGTGTATCCTTTTGGAATAAATAAAAACAGACTGCAAGGATGCACTGGATGGATTATGCTCAGTAGGCAATTTTAAAAGGCTGACGCCTGGCTCCACAGTAGCATACTGTCAGAGGGGGCTGGAGAGAGTGAAGACAGGACCTAGCACATTGTGCATCAGTGACCAGGGTGGCACATATCCGTCAGGCTGAAATGATGGGAGCAGACAGACATGCTTGTGTCCGACACTGAGGACAAAAGAACTGGTAAGGAGATGGCCCTGAAGTGGAAGGACAGTCCGAGCTCTAGGAGCAGGTGTGCTACCAGCAGCAAGGCTGGCTTGGGCGGTCTATTCCGCTGGTCCCAGGTGCCAGGTGGTAGGGTTATGGAGATTCTCTGTGTCATCAGACTGGGAATTTGTGGTAGACAGTTAATCCCAACAAGGAATCAGGGTTTACGGTGCCAAAGTGGGGCCAGGAAGGGCCAGTTCACAAGGACATGCGAGCTGCGTCTGGTGACATCACATTGGTAACCTGGGATGGGTAATGGTGACAATACTTACACCATGGAAATTGGCTAGTGCTATAATCAGGGTGCCCCTCCCCGTTTAAGACAGCGGGTAGTTAAACATTTACCAGTGAGTGACTGACTTTATACCATAAGGGATTTTTAAAAATGGAATCAATCTGTGTGTTTGAAACATCTGTCCAGCAGGGGGTAAAAGAAAATTTGGAGTATGGGGCAGAGTTGAATCTGAAGAAAGAAGGGGTAGGAGGCTCCTGCAGGGACATAATAAAGAACTGAAAAAGGGTGACCAGGAAAGTGTACCAACAGGTACATTCATTTAAATGACAGTCATGCCTTTCTCTGCAAGCTGTGTCCACATTACAACATTGGCAAGTTTCCTCTCATATTTTAAAACTCAAAAAAACTAAGTGTTAGTATAAAATCCCATGATATCCCTTGTTACTAATGATCTATAGTCAATGGTAAAAAAAAAAAACAAAACATGCAAGTAAAGAAAGAGGTGGCTGACCAGGAAGAAAAATCGTCAATTCGGTCCCTTGCTTGTGTCTGCAGCCAAACTATAAAATGGAAGTAGCAACAGTCATGAGAGGTGAAAACCAGCACACTGACAAACGAGGTCATATTTGCAGGGCTGCTGGGGAAGGCTGTCTCTTTTTCGCCTAAGTAACTTTTATTACAGCCGTGTTTTAGATCTGTGTTTCTCCTCACCTGTGATTCTGATATATTCCTATCAGGATCTGTGACTATGTATGCAGCCTCTTTGTCAAGACTGAGCCAAAATGCACCCTCAGGAGGAATCTTTCCTTAATTTATCCATCTCCAGTCATTACTTTTTATTTTATACCTTCTCACCGCCCACATACTCTGTCTCTATTATATTAACTTCTGCAGCTTGATGTTTGCCTTTGGAGTCTTTGTCAGGCCATTTGCTTTACCCTTCTGCTCTCATCTTGATCCTCAGCAAATCTATTTCCACTTCACTAGTGTGAGGAAAGCCTGGTTTGGGGCTGAGCTCTGCCCCCGGCTGTTTGTCAAATCTTGGACTGCGCATCCCTCCTCAAAAGCAAGAAGAGGTGAGCAAAGTCTCACAGATCCCTTGAGAGCACAGGAAGAGCTTGCACTCCTTCACCAGCACACAGATTCGCCCTTGGGAGGGAGCAAGTGCTTGTGAAATGCTTTGTCCTGTAAAAAGCATACTCATAGTTTTCTTTTGGGGGTTGGGGAACTTTCAAACTGCTGTGTTCCACTGGACTAAATAATCACAAAAACGGAACTGTGAAAGGGTAGATTTATGAAGTCCTTTTGGAAGTAAATGTCAAAAGGTGCGGGATAATGCAGAGCCTCTAGTGTGGAGGCAAGGATTCTGAGTTGTTTCTGCCTTGACCACTAAGTCTGAGACACCTCATGAAGAGTGCTGTCTCTCTTCCCCTCTTCGCAACTTCCCTGTGCTCCTGCTTCTCCACAGAAATAATCATGGAAGGAAGATACTTACAGATTGTGACATGAAAAGAATTCCTTGCAAGCAAATAAAGTGTTCATGAGTTTGAGCTAGAAACATGAATCACATCTGATATCAAATTTAAAACCAAATGAACACTGATGGGTTGAAAGAATACGAATGTGTATCTGTCCTATTTCCCCCTAAAACTTCAGTAGAAGCTTAAACCTTTTAGGAAAAGAAACAAGAAATTTCCGTCTCCACGGGGGAGGTATTGCTTGTAAGCAGGTGAGAACTGGCTCTTGGAGAATAAAAATGTGTTGTTTTTATGCATAAAGCACAGACAGAGATACAGCACATCAACAGATGCACAGAACATCTGTGATGTTAACATTTTGTGGGCAAAGAGGGCACTCTCTTCCTTAGTGTGCCATCTGGCTTGCGCCCACCGAAACCAAGTGAGGATGTGAAGGAGAAGTGCATCTGGTTATACACGAAGGCACCCAAAGCATCCATGCTCTGGAAAAGCTCGTCACATCAGCTGCCACAGCTTAACTGAAGGCAGAAAAGTGAAGGGCACAGGATGGACCTGCAGAGGACAGGTTTTGCTACTTCCGGAAACTTAAATGCAGAGTCAGTCACCTAAAACAATTTCCCAGGGGGCTGGGGATTTAGTTCAGTGGCACAGCGCCTGCTTGGCAAGCGCAAGGTCGTGAGTTCGATTCCCGGTACTGGAGAAAAAAAATTCCCAGAAAGACATAAATCACGTATGTACAGCGGAAACCTGTTCACTCCTGTCGCACAGGGTGAGAGAGACTTGGTCTTATCTGTCTTCACATCCTGCACCAGAGTTCCTTCCTCCTCCGCAAGGGGTGTTCAGTGGGCAGCAACTCGGCTTTGCTGCAACAGGAGGCAGAGCTACTCAAGACAAGGATGCACAGACAGCTCTGGGCTTCAGAACTGCCTGCTGAGACTCAGCCTGGGCCAGAACACAGCTGTGGACAAGCCAGCCAGCCGTTGTCCCTGCAGGAAAGACCACAGTCCAGTATGCAGTGAGTGGAACTCCTCTCTGCTGATGCTGGCCCTGACGGAGTAGCCCTCTCTTAGCTGAGGTTTTAGCTACCATCATCAATCACAGTCTGGAAATGTTAAATGAAACACTGCAGAAATAAGCAATTCATAAGTTGCAAATAGCGTTTACTTTATTTTCATAATTACTCTACTGTTACCTCTTACTTTTCCTAATTTGTAAATTAAAACTTTATCATAGAGATGTGTATGTGGGAAAAAGTACAGTATAGAGAGGGTTAGTAGTAGCCGAGGAGTCATGCATCTAATGGGGGTCCTGGGTCATATCGTCTACAGCACAGGACAGCCTGTGGAATGGGAAATTCAGTCCTGGAGGGACATGCCCACCTGCAGTACAGAAACCCTCTTCCAGCGGGCTTCATCCTCTGGCTGCCTGCCCCGTTCCTCTGAGGCGTGGGTGTGGTAACAGGTCGTCTCTGTTCACAGAGACTCTGGAGATTGTGTGGCTGCCCTTCCCACCACCTATGCAGCCGAACTTTCACAGAGGCAGAGAAGCTCCACAACTCCTCAGACAGCCATGACACCTCTGACGTCAATGTCCACCAAGGGCCACAGTCTCACCATGTACTTGGCGTGGGCCACCCCTTTCTAATGTCTATTTTTCACCTGACAGATGGGAACATAAATCTCACACCTTTCTTACCTGGCAGGATTTTAAAAATGTGCTCAGCCATAATGCAATAATATTAGTTCCCCCAAACCATAGAAGAAAACTATGAAGGTGTGAAATTACCCTCCTGGAAGGTACTATTCCTATTTATTTTCCACTTTTAAATATTGCAAGCACTTTTAATCAACAAGGCCCTGGGAGCAAAGGCCAGAACATCTGCCAAACTTAAAAACTACTAAGGGAATCAATCCACAGATTCCCACCCACTTTTCCTCATGGTCAGGTGCCCCTGGTAATGAGAGACATGAAACAGCCGCACAAAGGCATCTGCAGGGTAATTACTCACCAGCTGCTGTTCTAGGGGCGGGATGGTATCGTGATGGCCGTAGATTATGCCGGGGTTGTACTGACTGAAAAGGACTGGATAAAACACCTTTTTCCCTGCAAAGCAGAAAACACAAATCCGCTAGAAGTGACAGATTCAATTGTTCATTTCATTCATTTACATTCAGGCCTCTGCAACATCCCGGCTATTTACATCTGCTTTTCCTTTACCCTTCCCTCAACTCTACAATAGATGCTGGAAGTGCAGCAGCAGGTGGAAGAGACAGTCAGATTCTTAAATATTCCTGTCTTCCCAGCACAGAAATAGTATGTAAGATATTGACAGGCAGTGGCTCTGGCCCTGGCATTCTCCAGAAGGGGTGGGTGCAGGTCAGAGCTGGCTCCTGGGGCATCCTCAGGGTTGCCAGACAGGTCAAGCTAACTCGAGGCAGCTGCAGACTTGGACAGCCCAGGGCAGTTGCCCTTTACCAATTTACATGGAAGAATTTCTGTATTTTAGCAATGGACTTGGTCATGCCAGTAACTCTTAGCTGATTCTGCTCTGCCCAAGTCAAGTCTATGCAAGCAATTTTCATATTGTGGGTTCTTTCTACGCTCAGCCCTCCCTCCCTTAGTAACTGCTCACAGGTACTTTTTCCCCTCTGGGCCCAAGCAGCTTATCCAGGTCCAAGTCCCCCCCCCCACACACACACTTTCTCCTGTAGATGACCGAAAAGAAAAAAGGAGAAGGGTTATTTAGATACACACACGTTGCACAGAGTCCTGAGATTTGAGTGTCTCACAGGTCTGTTCTGTGGCAACCAAAAAAAAATCAAACTAGAGGACTGTCTTTTCGTTTGTAAAATGGGCTCATTCTGAAATAGGACTCTGACTAAACTCTGTGGAGAATAATGCTCAGTGTGAGGGTGTGGAATGTACCCCGGATGAGAAAGAGAAGCCCCAACCTGGCTGTGTGTTCAGCCTGCACGTGTTGAGGAACTCTGAGGTGAAGTAGATGTCCACATCACAGAAAAAGAGAAGGACGTTGCTGCCCTTCCAGAAGCGGGCTCCGACATCGAGTCCCTTTCCCCGGGAAAATTCTCCATTCAGTTGGATGAAGGTGAAGTTCCGAAAGTTGGCAGCCCTAGAAGGGAAGAGGAAAGGAAGGTCAGGGTCAGCCACTTGTGTGTCCATGCTGGCCAGGCCACGGGATTCCCTGGAAGACACACACCCAGGGGCCACCATCCACCTCTTCCTCTTTCTTCTGTAACAAGGACACTGGGACCACCGAAGCAGGTAACGAATGGCCCCAGCCCAACAGAAACCACTGGGATTACATGGATGAAGAATACCTAGCAAACTTTTCATCTGAATTTATTTCTTGTTTCTCTGGCAGTTTCCCCACATGGAAATCTGTACTGTCACCCCTACTGAATGCTCTTTGTAAAAGAGAAAACCTTCACAAAATGAGGCTAGGAGCACAGTCGAGGAAAATCTCCACGCTTTCTCCAGCACCCAAATGAACCCACTCAGTCAAGCATATTAAATCACCACGGAATAGGCTCTCCTGCCATCTTCTTATCTGTATTCAAATCCAGAAACCAGACAAAACGTCCTTGATATATATCTGCCTTGATGCAGACTGAAACCCGGATTCCTTCCCCACCCTCAGGAAAAGAGGTCGAGCAAGGCAGGAAAAATGACCGGCTGGAGTCAGAAGGCAGAAGCAGGTTCAGTGCTGGCTTACTGTACATTAGCTTTGTGAGGCAGGAAAGCCCATTAATCTCCCCGCACCCCCGTTGCCTCATCTGCAAAGTGGGAATAATAACACCTTCCTACTTCACAGGGTGATTAGTTAGATAAACGATGCCAAGAACACAAAGCACGCTCCAAGCTCCAGCTACCGCTGTCATTAGCACTGGCGAGAATTCCCAGGTTTCACATGGTGAAGGCAAGATATTTCCCAGAAACAGCAGAACCTGCTGAAATGCAGTGTGTCTTGAGCAAAACTGAATGTATTTACTGCGTGTGGGACAGGGACTGCCTTCCATCAGATATCACAAGAGGACCAGTCCTGCCCCCCTCCTTACCAACATCACTGGTCTTTTCACACGGTTTCCTCCACCCCGCCCCTCCTCAGCCTGGTCCAGCCCCACAGTTTCCCAACTTCTCTCTCATCTTGCTGTGTTCAAAAGGTACAGACACCCATTTCTATTTTTGAAAGTCTGTATTCCAAGCAACTAGCTCGGTTACAAGGTCAACACAAATGTAGTCATCAGCTTTTAGCACGCTAAATTGTACTGGCACCTGGTGATTTCATAGGGAGAACCAGTTCTGCTCTCACTTCTCTGACTTGCCGTCCTCTTTCAGATCTGAGAAGGTGCTTGATTTTTTTTATCTAGGGAATCTGTGCGCCCAACCTTGTCTGAGTCTGATGCTAGATGGGCCTTTCAGATAGAGATCAAGGCAGGAGGCCTTAGGATGGGAAGAACACTCAGCTATGAGTCAGGAAGCCTGTATACAGGACCTGGAAGACGTCCTTGGTCAACACCAAGCACTGAGTAGTTGTTTCTGAATAAATGAGTGAACATATGAATGGTTCTCACCTTTGTTCTACCTCTAACTTTTTCAGGACAAGGCACTTTATCCTTTTGCCTTGGTTTCATTATTACAAACCCATTGGTTACAGAGCTCTAAGGTCCCTTTACACTCTGTCATTCTCCTTTTTTAAGATTCTGTATTCATTTTAGCCCAGCTTTATCTCTGAGCAATTCTCTTCTTTCAAAACTTTATCTTAGAATCTTTCCTCTGGATACATGAGCTCAGTTCATATTTTCTATTAGCAGCACTGAAGTTATGCTCCAGAGCTTTTTGAGTATTAGGTCTGGCACTAGTTAAAAAGCACTACTTCCCTGTTTGCAAAGACATGTAGGTGGCATGAGCCCTTGAAGGTGACCTTCATATCTCCCAGAGATTTCTACAGCCCAGCTGCTGTACATCAGCACAATCCATTTCTCTTCTCCTGTTTGGTCAGCTGCTGGGAAGCTTGCCCCACAACACAGGCCTGGATTTTCACCTGTTCACCTAAGGGCACCTCCAACCAGGTCCCTAAGGTGCTTGTCACCATCCAGAGGCTTGCCCTGCTTTAACAGCCAGTGAAAGGTCTCTTTCTTCAAGTTTATACCCTTGAAGATCCCTACTCCTTTGACTGCTGGGATGCCTGCTAGCTAATTTTCAGAGAAGAGAGGACACCCCCAAGCGTAATGAAGGAGAAGGCCCCTATTCACTTGGGTTGAATCTGACTCATAATTCAGCTACCTTTCCCGGGAGAGTTTCCAGAATCAACCACATGAGATTTCAAATCTAAAAATATTTTTATGTGAACAATAGCAAGTAACTTTTGCTAAGTCAAGAGGCATGCAGTTTCCTTAATACACTGCATTAAAGGAACACCAGGGGGCTGGGGATTTAGCTCAGCGGCAAAAGCGCCTGCCTGGCAAGCGCAAGGTCGTGAGTTTGGTTCCCGGTACCGGAGAAAAAAAAAAAAAAAAAAAACAAAAAAAAAATGCTACTCTAAAGGAACACCAGGAATTTTCCCTTTGAATAGACAACAGTTCATTTACAAAGATACATCAAGTATTTATGAATGCTAAATCATATTGAATAGTTAAGAAGACAGGGCAGCATGAGATAGTATGCTAACGGTGTTGAAGGTATGACAAGCCTGTGGGTTAAAAATCACAAAGGAATGGTAGAGAGAAGATTGAGTGCTACAAAGAAGAGACTAGTAATCTGGAACATATGCCTGCCTAGTACAGGAATTAATTTACTTGTTCTGCACAAAATTCTGCAAACCTCAGCTTGAGCCTCTACCTAATATATACTGTTCTCTGTTCCACTATAGCAGAGCATGGAGGAAGGGGCCTGGGCTTGCATGATACTCACAGGAGAAAGGAGAGGGAACAACTCATGGTGTCTAGGGTTCGAGATGGCCATAATTTGAGAGAACCAGTTTTTTAAAAAGTCTTCAGACATCAGCCTCTATGCCTCAGTGTACTGCTTCCAGACAGAGAGAATTCAGAAAAATGGGTGCTGGGGAGCCCTTTATCTGGTCTATCACAAAAGGCAGTTTCCGTCCTTTCTCATCAATTTTTCTGGAAGGCTAAGACCCTCCATGCTATTTCCCTGGCACTGTCCATTCTGAATATGCACATCAATCCATGCTCCAGCATTGAGCACAGGCCACAGCAGCCTCCAAAAGGACAAATCTGAGAGGTGATGGTCCCAGAAGGTGAACCCCTCTGTCCACGCCTTGCTTCCCTGGAGCACGTGTGGGACCAGTGCACACAGCACTCTGCCCCCTGTGGCCGTGCCTGGCTCCCTCATCCAAGGAGGTAGTGTACCCCGTGACTGCTGGATGGATCCAGGCTGCCGTGCTGGCTCCTTTCGGAAGCTCTGACAACTTGCCAGGTCCTGATTAGGCAACAGGATGTGAGTCCACGCAGTAGGCAGGGTGGGGACATGGGCACTGCTGGTGTGCGAAGACTGTCAGCCAGTCACAGGCCCTGGAGAGGGCCAGAGTGCTAAATCTGTCATACATCTGGGGTTCCCCGCCTGACCAGCAAGGGCTTCAGTCCATTTGTAGAGGACTAATGGTATCATTCTCCTTCCAAATTCCTCAATCCAACGCTTCTTAAATGAATAATCAGGAAGAACCACTCCTTTTGCTTCCTGGCCACTGGGAAGGGCTTCTGGTAATTAATGACCAAGCTCTGTCTGTGGGGAAAGGGCATTGAGTTGGAAACAGCAGAGAAAGAATCAGGACAATTTCACTTCCTCCATTTTCCAGAACAGAGAGATGAATACATCATCAAACCCCCTGGGCCTGGAAGTGAGATGCATTCCTCATCTCAAACTCCTCACTACCAGCCGTGTGCCTCTGAAAAGGCTGCAGCAGGATGACCAGGAATTGGCTTCTCTAAGCAAGTCAGGCCCCTTATCTTCACATTTTCATTTTGAAACACTGCTCATGGGGCAGGGGGCCTGCACTGCTAGACGAAAGTGCCCCCTGTCCATGCAGCAAGGCCGTGCCAAGGGAATGAAGCAAAATACTGATTTTCCCAACAGGGTGCGGTGAGATGGATTTGGGATTATGCACACCGTGGCTACACGGCTATACCCCTACATGCAGGTGCACAGGCACTTACCAGGTTTGGTCCTCTGTCACCCCTTCCCACAGTGACCAGCCAGGATAGATGTAAGCACCAAGGCATGGGCCAACAGAGCCTCCTGTCTCTGCTCAGAGTTCCCTCCCCAGAATGTGCTTTCTTCCTCCACTGCTGTGAAAATCGCACAAGACCCAAGTCCAACGTCCCTACCTCCCTCGTGCTCACTGCATACTGAAGGGCCCTCTCCTATCTCCCAGGCCTTTTGTCCAGTCCTGCCCATCTGTCTTGTGTCCTGGCGGCTTCTTTGGGCTTTGCCTGTACAGAATGTATGACATGCTCTGGCAAGCTCTGAACCTTTCGAGGGCAACAACTGCCTTACATTCATGTTTTCCATCTTCATCCAGCACCTTGTAGTAAATGGCACACACGGGAACACCGAGGTAGTCAATCAATACTGGATGGACCAAGAGATAACACTGAGGCTCATTTCAGGTCCATCCTGAAGGAGGTGCTGCCCAGAGGTGGGAAGCTGCAGCTGCTCAGGGGAGCCCCAGAGAAGCCCCTTTGTATATACACCCATCCACATCCAAAACAGACTGCAACCAATGGATTCTGAATGATAGGCACAATCCTTAGGTTTTCTTTCTTAATTAAGTTTAATGGTGCATTTTTGATATACATAGTGATCACATTCATCATAGGAAATTTGTACCTGTGCATGATATGCTTTAATTCTTTTTTTCCCATTCCCCTACCCTCCCTTCAAACCTTCTCTCCCTCCTTAACCTTAGCTTTTAAGAAAATGAAAAATGACAGAAAAACAGAGCGCTGAGAAAAATAAGATGAAAATGGGCTTGAAGTATTTAACTTACTCATCCAATGTAAAGCAATATTTAGTGACACACCAATAGTCATGATGTAGTAAGACCTGGGCTTTATCAAGGTAGAACAGGGGTGCTAGTGTTAGACAATTTCC